TTCTTGTCGCTCCTTATCAATGTAAACTGTATGAAACTGGCAACCATATATCTAGACAGAACACGTGTACAGAAAACTGCTCTTTGGTTGTTCCAGAGCAAATGGCAGACATGCCAACCACTGACGCTTAATAACTACTCTTCACATAAACAAGACTTTATTTGTTCTGAAGACTCTTGTGGACACGTGGGCATCGATTTTCATCCAACAGATTTGACAGAATTTTCTGAACAAATAATAAACAGAAAAAAGCAAAAAAACTAAAGTTCACCTTGACCCAACCTTTACAAATATCATCATGCGTATGACTAGAGATGTTTCAGACACCAGGATTTGTAAAACTAATTAATCATAGTGAATTACGGAGGTGAAATTAGATGGAATTGAAATGTGCTTTATAATGACTTTATAACATAAACATTTATTTCATCATTATAGAAATTATGCTTCTGCAATAGCCAAATGAAAATACATTCACTAAAAACTTCATATACAAGGATTTTTTCAAACACTGTAGTTGTGCGAACACCCAAAGGATTTCACAGTTCTGTATTTCGCTGAAGATGCCAACCCTTTTCGCTACAGGTATAGGTTCTCTTACCCAGTTATCACCAGGTTTTGGGCGATCCTTGACCTTTACACAGACTTCAGCAAATGTGTGTGCAGACGAGAATTCATCGTCAATACAATTATGTACATACTTTCCCACCAAGTCTCATCTCTGTCAATCTTCCATACATATTTGTCTTTATATAAGCCAAACACTATTGTCAACAAGCTGGAAAAGAAATTATCTCATTAATCTCTGGAATTTGAAGTCTTTCCATGTTGAACACTGCCCACCAAATGATGGTGAAGATGTAACTTTGCACGTACTGCCTTCAATATGGCAATTCCACGACATCACAGCCAGGGCTACACACGAGAGGTGAATACGTACATGTACGATCTAAAAATGAACAGTGTGATCACCAATCATTGCTCCGAGTCAGAATAACATATTTATTCAAGATTGATGGACGAATTACCACCGGAAAACAGTCACGCTAATCTCAAACTTCCTGGTAATCAATAGTTATATTTTGATTATATCTTTTTCTGAAAATACAACAGTCCGAATTAAAAAGAGTATCAGCGTTATATTTTAAAATCAGGAAACACAATACAATATACATTGTTACGTTTTTTAATTTTGAAAATGATGGATATTATCTGGTCTAAAACCCCTTATGTATTTTAAGCCGAATAAGCAATTTTTGATAACTACCATGTTTTCATGCTCCGTTACCTTTTCTCGGGTGGACAGCCCCCGTGGTCTAGTGGTAGAGCGTCTGTCCGGAGAGCGGAAGGTCGGGGTTCGATCCCCGGCCGCGTCATAACAAAAGACGTTAAAAGATGGTACTTGTTGTTACCTTGTCTGGTGCTCGGCATTACGGGGCTAAACCAAGGACTGGTCGGCTCGGAGTCAGTATACCGTATTCATGTTGAATTGCGGCATGGTATCTCAGTGGGCTAGCACTATAATCCGGCATCCAGATTAGTACAAGCAGCCACACACACACACGGGCATGCACGTCGCTATATAAGTGCAATAATCTTGGACGCAACGTTAAAACCAATTTCACCTACGATTCTATTCTACCATTCTATTCTAAAAAATATTGATTGATTAAAGCAGCCACCAGTTATCCTATATTTTTGGCCATAAATTTTGCGACCATGAACTGTCAATAAATCTTCAGTACACGAACTTGTTATATGTTATACAGAGACGGATAAAAGTACTATTCTCGTTTTCATTTTGTAAACGGTACTTGTTCCATTTGTAGTTACATTCTAAATATCTTAGCATGCTGAACAAGCCTGAATGTGATTTATTTTAGCTTCTGTTACAAATTACTCTATTCCCCTTAAGGAATACTTGTACAATGTTTCTTTATTGTGATGTAAATTTTGTTTGTCAACATTGCAAATCAGTGTACACATAAACTGTTTATGAATGAAGGAACATATACTCGTATTTGTCGCATTAAAAGCTGAATCACAATAGTCGTGTTTTAGCGGGTTTGGCTGCCAAACTCCAAGCTTATAGTAAGATACGTTTGTGAATATTTTAACGAACAAAGAAGGAAAGAAGCTATCAGATAGGGTATTCTTATGAATATAGATTAGGTAATTTAAGTAATAGCATTTGTACAGAAACGTCGCATTGCAAGAATTCAAGAATGCAACACATGCGTCAACCGTGTCTTGCATTATTCTTTATCATGGTACCAGCATGTACCACACCGTTACAATGAAATCATAATGAAATTAAATTTGTAAATTGTAAATTGGTACTTCATCAAGGTTCTGGCACCTGCACCAGAAAACCACGCCGACACTGAACTTCATTGACACCAGCTTTTAAAAGCCACGAAAAGATGCTGAACCTTGTCAACTGAAAAAGTTGGACTTATCTAACGTTATTGTCGGAATATGATCCTTACCTGGACTGTAGCCTTACATCAGAAGGTCCTTCTTTCCAACTGCAAATAACATAACATACATTCGATGGCACAACTGACTTCCCTGATTAACGAGATTTCCCTGTACTACAGCAATTTAAACCAAAAGTAGATATAACATATTTTTAAATGCAAATATTAAAGCAATTATGATTATGAAAGTATATCATTATGTGATGCATCTTTCATAAGTTCACCTTGGACACATCTAAAGCTTAAGCATGAGGTATTACAGACGTTGGTTACATTTTCCTTGCACGACCTTCATCCTAACGTTACACCATGAAATTTAAACCGGTACTAATCTCATAAATTCTGTTATTGATTTCCAACAAAACCTGATCTGCCTTAAGTGACGTATATTGCAGGGATAGGCTTTGATGGTAGCAGTTTGCATGTTGGTAAATGAATAATACATTTAAATTGCTTTTGACAAAGTCAGTGGAGCGTTCCTTAATCTCTGTGATGTTCTGGCAGTTTCTGCATCTTCCACGGCTGACTGCTCAAACTTTTTCAAAGATGCGAAAGTCAATCATTAAATCAGCCGCATAATTGAGAAAAGAAACGAGAAACGTGAATTCCCGTCTGCATTTTTAACGTGTGAAAGATCCGCCGATTCATCCTGCGTTGAGGCAGAAACTTTAATCCCCACTCACTTGTTAGGTGCAATTGATCAGGGATTGCATCTGGCTGAAGGTTTGTGGAAGTCTATTTCACGTTAGCGTTCATTCCTGGAGTGTTTTTATGTAATCGTGTGTCTCAAGGGGTGTGTCATTAAATTAAATTACCCAACTGAAGGGTGAGTGAACTCTGTGTGATTCACAGTACTTCAAAGGGTGGTTGTTAGTCATTTGGGCTTGTCCTAGGGCGTGGTATAGTACGTGTATGTAATGTTACTGTGGATGTTTCGTCATCGTGCGTTCGATTGGGAAACCGCTCCCCACCTTGCGTAAACTGACCTTCAGCATTGATGTTTTTCACAGCTACAAAGAATTTTGAATATATTTTCTTCTCTTCTCGATGATTGATTTATGGTCTAAACCCTACTATTGTGTAAACTACTACTACTGCTACTACTACTGCTGCTACTAATACTACCTCCTCTTCTACAACAACTACTACTGTTATTACAATTACGGTTACTCCTACAACTATAACGTCAATTGCAAATACTGCTACAACTACTATGACAACTGCCACTACGACAACAACAACAACAACAACTACTACTACTACTACTACTACTCCTACTATAGTTATTACTACTACTACTGTTTCAACAAGAACTACAACTACTACTATATTTACGTCTAATACTGCAACTACTACTACTATAACTACTACTAATTTAGTTACTGCAACTACTACTATTGTGTAAACTACTACTGCTACTACTACTGCTGCTACTAATACTACCTCCTCTTCTACAACAACTACTACTATTATTACAATGACTGTTACTCCTGCAACTATTACTTCAAATTGCAAATATTACTACAACTACTTTGACAACTGCTACTACTACTACTTCTACTTCTATAATAACTACTACTATTGTGTAAACTACTACTGCTACTACTACTGCTGCTACTAATACTACCTCCTCTTCTACAACAACTACTTCTGTTATTACAATGACTGTTACTCCTGCAACTATTACTTCAAATTGCAAATACTACTACAACTACTTTGACAATTGCTACTACTACTACTACTACTTCTATAATAACTACTACTATTGCTTCAACTACCACTTCTACTGCTACTGCCACTACTTCAACTGCTGCTTCTTCTTCTACTACTACTACTACTACTACCACTACTGCAGCAGCATCAGTTAAACGGCTGGAAGTAGACCGCTAGCTATTGCCCTTTAGTAACCTCCGCGGCTCAGACATGCTATTATCTTTCAGTACTGCAGACCAAGTGCAGCTTTGGGGGAGCAGCTCTTCTTAATGTCAGCTGTAAAGCGGGTTTTAGCGAAATCATTGGCTTCTCGCGAGAGACTGTTCAGTATGACGTTTATGACGAAATATAGGTTTGGGTCTTTATATATATATATATAAAACATTGGTATATCGCTACGTACAATGATATCTAAAATCGATTTTGATGTGAGGAAATGAAGCAAAGATGAATAACATGATTTGATATGATGAAATCATTGTTTGTGTTTAGAACGGACTATCAGTGGATAAACCATGACATTAAATGGAATTATTGGAGTTATTAATTCACCATCCATCAATATCCATCTCAGGATGAAGGTCACGTTCCCAATGAAAGCAATGATGGGAAGGGATACCCAGATGTAGATTGATTATAAGATATCTTGATACCGATTCAGTAATATTAATACTAGATATTCGTTTTAAGATATCTTTAATGTGAAATCGTGATATCATGTTTTGTTGTTGTTGTATTCTTGTTACAAAAAATGAATTAAACCTTTACGTCACTGTTGTTTTCACAAATCGATGTTTTCCGTTTCAGGTCCAAGAGTCTGACCACAGTCCTACAGACGCTTATCGACAAAGACAGCAAAGTTCCACCAACCTTTGACGATGGTAACACATTGTATTATTCTAATGGTTTTGTACTTTTGGCCTTTCCTGTCCTTGGCTATTAAACCATGTTATTTTGATTACCGAAAGTAAACTTCCTCTACATGATTATAACAGCTAGACATACTTTAGCAAATACGTGACCTTAACACGACAAATGAACCCACGGATCTGCATAATCCATACAGTGTATAACAACAGCAGACCGCCTCCGTGATCAAGTGGTAGAGTGTCCGCCCGGAGAGCGGAAGGTCCGAGGTTCGATCCCGGCTGCGTCATACCAAAAGACGCTATAAGATGGTACTTGTTGTTACCCTGTCACAGACACAGACACAGACACAGACACACACACACAAACACACACGCATGCATGTCGCTACATAAGTGCAATAGTCTTGGACGCGACGTTTAAATCAATTTCACCTCACCTATAACAACAGTTGCGCTTTGACTTTTACACGTGGAGCATGAACTTCATGGGAACCTCATCACACTCCCCACCGCAGTCCCACTTGTAACAGAAATAGGTTCTTACGTTGCACGAAGGACTACTGCCCCAAAATACGGCGTGCACGCCAAATTATCTTAAGTACATTTAGCAGTACCAACGAGTTTCTCTTGCATAACCCAGAGCCTACATGTGAAAAGACAGTCACCCAGTCGAATATTATCCCCTTCTCAGCTCCAGCAGCCTATAACTCATCTTATCGCTGGGATTGATAAGTGTCCTTTAGTACTCGTGGGTTCCCTGATAGCATTTTGTAAATTAATACATTACCTTACTTCTGGGACTGTGTGGTGGTATGACTTTTGCTCAGAAGTTGTTTGATCAAGGTTTGCATGCAAGGCATTCTGAAGCTTTAAAAACGTTTTATGGTAGGTGGAGGACATTTCCAAATTTAACGCATCAGTGACAACTATGTTGTCCGATGCAATTCCCTATTTTGACATGTGTCATGTTCCTGTGTTTTTTCAGGTGAACAGTTGACTCGTGTTTGTGATGGGTGCCACCGCTGGGGCAGGATACGCTCACCTTTTCGCGATCACCTGGTATCATCACTATTTGATAGTGATTCATAAACACATGTTCGTGATTTAGTCGGAATCTTTCCATCAACTCTGCTATTAGCAGAGATTTCTTATGAATGTGGAAATTGTTTTGTCGCTTTTATTTACGGAAATAATTATCTGTTCTGAAAATCTCTGACTCTGGTTATCACGGAAGATGTTCTTATGGTGGATAAGGTCGTCCTTTCTCTGTTCTCTTTTAGCAACTTTTAGTCTACATCACCACTCACCTTCATAAACATACCGCTTGACAATGACACTGCAGAATACATTCAATCTTCATTCAAAAACATACCGACCCAATTGACTTGGTATTTTACGGGCGGTTGAGATGAACCAAATATATGTATTTATCTCAACCATGAAACATGTAATTTGTTAAACATGATGAATAAATATGGATTCAAATTGGGTGCTGAAATACTTGTTTTCCGTTTGCAAAAATCAATTAATTTGTTTGTGCTGATGCGTATATCCGGAAGTGTTTCTGGTATTTGTCACTTCAAGGGAGGGCACTCCTGCAACACTACATACCAGAAACAACCCCCAACGACCATCAGTTATTCCATAGGCAAAGTGAATATGAGTTTTCAGTGTGTAATGTCAGTGACGCTCACAAAGTTTACATGTCTGCACTATTATAACTAAACAATACATTGAGTACTAAAACAACTTACCGTACCTGGTATGAAATTAACCGTGAAATGTTTATTTTTTATAATATGAATTGTGAGTTAAGTTGCAAGGGAGCCTAGAATAGTGCTTTTTGTAGCAGGAAGAAATCAAAAAGAGCACTGGGAGATAAGTCATCAGCTAGTAGTTTTGTTTCAAGAAGGGGCAAAATGTTTGTTCAACATGATTTAAGGGGTACTTGTTCCAATCCGATTTACAAATTGTGTATATGCAGACGTTTTATGAATCGCAGGCATTCGTTTGATTGGTGAGTGAGTGAGTGAGTGAGTGAGTGAATGAGTGAGGAGTGAGGAGTGAGTAAGTGAGTGAGTGAGTGAGGTAAAAACAGTATTCCCTTTCTATTATTGCGCGTCATCGTTATACGGGAGGAAAGCCCGAAAGTGAGGAAGGTAGAGGTCGTCCAACACATTTACCACGTTGATGAAACCAACAAGCAAGGGTATAGTGCGCATGCTGATAAACCCAGACACCGTGACTTATCCTTCAAAGTTCATGTATTTCATCCCAGGTGTTTAATCATTATCCAGTACAAAACAATATGACATTGTATAATTTCGTCTCTGGTCTAACAGAAAGTTTTTCGTAAATTAACAACAAGCTCTGTAAACCTGACAGTATCCTACCTGAAAGGTAATACTACTACAATACAAACTTTATACTACTTACTAAAAAGGTTTATTTTTTCAGTTTCACCATAACAATTGCTTGTAGCGTTTCATCCCGTAGGGAGCTTGGGTTAGAATAGCTCCATAGCAATACATGCTTGACACACGAGCCGACGGTATGGATCGAGTGGTCAGGCTCGGCGACCTGGTTGATGGCCTATCAATATACGTCGACGGCATGCCTTAGATAACTAGAGTATTCCTCTAATAATGACTTTGTGCTGTATATTTCAGAGATACCAACGGAGGTTGAGTGCCAAATATATGTGGACAGTTTCGACTCCATCAATGAAGCTTCCATGGTAAGCGCTGCTTCAATAATACTATGTAGCTATTGTTTCAATACGTTTTACTCTACACCAGAGCATATTTTACATTCATTCGTGAGCACTGGCTAGTAGCTACACTGTAGACTACGTAATTGAGAAACTCCGCCGTCAAGTTAAACCTCGTTGATCGACACATTTCTGAAACAAGAGGAACGCGGTGCGAGTTTTGCAACTTCAATATAAGACCAAGTCGCAGAATATCTTTTGCACCTTTATTTTTCAATATAATCTCCATTAACCTCAATACACATTTTCCATTGTCCTTCAAGCGTTTAATACCGTAAGTTAAATCACCCACACTACAGCCCAGACTTTGCCCCAGTGACACTTTCCTGTTCCGGCAAATGAAATCTGCCCAACGTGGAAGACGCTTCCAGGATGACGAGGACATAAAGGCTGCCACAGAGGCGGGGTGAGAGGGCCAATCTGCGGATTTCTATAAAACTGGTATTAAAAGCTTGAAGGACAAATGGAATATATGTATTGAGGTAAATGGAGATGATATTGTAAAATAAAAGTGCAAAAGATATTCTGCGATTTGGTCTTATATTGAAGTTCCAAACTTATTGAACGTCCCTCGTACTTTTTTCCTGGTATTTATGATCCATTCCTGGTATTTATGATCCGTTCCTGGTATTTATAATACATTCCTGGTACTTATGATCCATTCCTGGTATTTATGATCCATTCCTGGTATTTATGATCCATTCTTGGTATTTATGATCCATCCCTGGTATTTATGATCCATTCCTGGTATTTATGATCCATTCCTGGTATTTATGATCCATCCCTGGTATTTATGATGCATTCCTGGTACTTATGATCCATTCCTGGTTATCACTTGCTCTTCATTGCTTTAAACATTGATGACAGTGAACACCAAACTTCTCACCAAACTATGATATTCTGGTTAATATGCCAAACTTGTTTTTAAGAAAAAAGTGTTCATTAATGCCATCATAAAGTGACTGAAATGAAAACGTATGTCAGGCAGCAAGTCATAATTAAAAAATGTTTTTCTACTTCTGTCTTTTGCATCTGGTCAGTCAAATCCGTTTACCGAAAAATAAGTGACGCTTATCCTTGATATTATCCCCTTCTCTAGGACTACACCGTCAGTCTCCTTCTGCACATGGAATGGTCAGTTCCATATATCAAATACCATTACGACGTACCGTACTTCGAGGTAGACGCCAAAAACAGAGAGAAGATATGGGTTCCAGATCTGTACTTCCCCAATGAGAAGAAGGCGTCCTTCCACAACATCATGATGCCCAACAAGATGATGCGGATACACAGAGAACATAAACTATCCTACGAAGCAAGGTAGGATTTAGGATGTTCGCGGGACTAGTTACAAAGATAATTATTGCAAGATAAAGAAGGGCGTTGATACTATGTGATAATGATATAAATACAGATACACCGAGAACATAAACTGTCCCACCAAGCAAGGTAGGATTTAGGTTAGAAAGATAATACTATTGCAGGATAAAGACGACTATTTATTTGGCACGATAGTGTTAATACTATGTGATAATGATGTAAATGCGGATACACCAAGAAAATAGACTGTCCCACGAAGCAAGGTAGTATTAAGGTTACAAAGATAACTATTGCAAGATAAGGAAGGGAATTAATGTTTTACGAATAGTGTTAATACTATGTGATAATGATATAAATGCGGATACACAAAGAACATAAACTGTCCTACTAAGCAAGGTACGATTTAGGTTACAAAGGTAACTATTGCAAGATAAAGAAGGGCATTCATGGTGTACGAATAGTGTTAATACTATGTAATAACTATGTATATGCGAATACACAAAGAACATTTAACTGTCTTACTATGCAAGGTAATGTTTTGAATGTGCTCAGGGATAGTTACAGAGACAGCAGACATAAAGAAGGGAGTATATTGTTTTGGCACGATGGTATTGATACTATGAGATGATGATGTTGATATGCAGAGCCGATATTATCCAACGAAGCAAGGCAATGTTTTGAATGTGCGTAGTGTTATTATTAGAGTATCGGTACGATATAAATAAAGAAGACATAAATACAGAAGGGGCTTTTTGCACGATAGTGTTGATACTATGAGGTAATAAAGATGGTATTTTTAATTAAAAGAGAAAAAACCGTTTTGGCAGTGTGATATAAAGCTACAATGAAGTAGGAATGACAAAGAGGGAAACCTTTAAAAATATATTCACTAGATTTATTTTGAGTTTTGGTAGTATTTTAATATTGATAATGGACATAATTATATTAAACTTGATTCTTCCACAGAGTATAACAATATTTGTCTTTTATACTTGTAGCTGAAAGGGTTATGACCTCCAAAGAATGAACACGATTATTATACACAAACTAGTGTTAACGTTCTGCACAAAATGATGATGTATGCAAAGGCAAAGCCCTAAGCAAAATGGAGATTGTTTCGTATGTCAAAACGCATGGAGGGGCTATTAGGCAGGATACCCTTTCCATAATACTTAGGCCACGTGGGCATTCCTTGTCTGAACAGAGCCCCAGTAGATCATTCATGTGGTACAAGTCGACTTTCAGTCATTGGTTTGCCTGGTTCAGACTCGATTATTCACAGGATGCCTACTTGTATAAATACAATTAATTGCTGGAATATTGTTTGTCAAGATATTTTAGCAACACAACACTGTAATGAGAAATGATACATCCTAATCTTGATGTCGTACCGTTATTCGTATATACTCGTAAGTGTATTAAGTAAGTGTATCGTAACTGTATTAAACCTCGATGCAAATGTTCTGTTACCTATTCGCCAACATCCCATATCCCTCAATTGAAACTGTTGGCGAAATGGCACAAGACTGTACATCACCAATAAGAATATTGACTCTACCGGAGTAACGTGTTGCTTGAACGAAGAGGGTAAATTTTCAATTGCTGTATTGATTGAACTAGACGAGCGAATCGTGCTTGTGAAGGATCACCCACGGCGTGGAAGGCAGACCCGCTTCAGTTCCTGGATGCGGCTGGCAACCTTCTCAAGCTGAACTGAACTGAACTTCACAACAAGCAAACTGAACTCTAAATCAATTCTCTAAAGAAAAGAGAGACCAATGCAATGAGCTATTATTATTTATACTTTTATATAACTACAATCTATTCATTCTATACAATCTTTAGAGCTTCATTTCAGAACTACAGTCATGATTAGTAGACAACGAACACACAACCACTAGAACCTGCCTTGTTGTTTTGAGTCTTGTCGAAATGTGATGTTGGCGAATAGGGAACATACCTTTGCGAACAAGTCCCTTAACGGTAGTGTACATAACGATATATTTTCGTCTTGCAGACTTTCTCTTACCCTGAGTTGCCCAATGGATCTCCGGAACTACCCGTTTGACAGACAAATATGTGCAATACAAATGGAGAGTTGTGAGTTTAATGTGTAGATATGTTAACCCATCATAACCTTTATCATTTAACTTGATTTAAAACGTGTTGATTTAAAAGCGTTATTACATTTCACATATGGTCTTCTTATATTCCTGGTGTTTATAAGCAACATATGTTTAGACACAACGGCGTAGTCTCCCTTACACTACAGCGTTCCATTATCTGAACCATGGTCAATACTCGTTCTTTCAACGTCAACAAAGTCTACCTACAGGTTATGGTGACGATCTTATATTTTAACGATCGCAATTTCTTTCGTATTGCCATATCTATAACAACTTTGGCGACACTACTGTCATCGGAGCTTTTAAAAAGAATATGAATCCTTCCCTCGAACTAGATTTTAATGTTTAGTCAAAGCCCAACATGGTTAGCAGGCTGTTTTGGAAAAGGGAGGTAGCTATGATGTTTGTCTTTTATTAATAATTATTGTTCCTGACGGTTACTAGTAAGATAGATGTTGATGCTGCCTACCATCAATATGTAATATGAATAAAAAAAATTAAAAACAATGCATGTTTTACCGAAACTATCGATAGTGAAGTGCGGTACCGATGTTAACTATTGATATTTTAACTTGTGAAAACTATAACCAAGTACACTCGAAATAAATTAGTTTTCGAATTATGAGTTTGCAGAAACAGGAAATTAATTTCTTCAAAGATTAAACCAATAATCTATATCCAAAGGAGATGAGAGAAAATAAAATGTGATGTCGTTAAAACATGTATGTCTTCATTGAGACCAATAAAATCACCTTAACAACGTTTTCAGTTGGATTTGATGCTGATAAGGTATTGCTGTCATGGAGGAATTCCACCCCTGTAGATGTGAACACAGATATCATACTGCCACAGTTTGAAGTGGTGGAGACGGATTATGGAGACTGTCCACAAACTCGGCGTAGAACGGGTGAGTAATACTTGATTTTCCTTATACTTCAAGAATATAGTTCATCATGATCAGGACACTCTTGTCAATACCAACATCCTAGGTCTATCAGTTACAACTAGTAGTAGTTTCATTTGTCCAGAATATATAGGATGTCGTCATGGAAGATGGAGTATTGATCATGTCAAATACGTTCAAATACTGATTCACTAATTTATAACAAAAGGGGACACAAGTGGTCGTGCAATGTGGCGTCCTTTGAGGCCTGCCTGATACCAATGATCCAGGGTTCGAATCCCGATTCTCCCCGAAAATGAGTCCAAATTTGTCAGCTCCATACCCGTGCTTGTCAGTTTCACAAGTGGCAAACGTCTGAGACCTGCATCACTCAAGCTGACACGCTGTAAATTAATTGAAATACTGTTCAAAGAGGCGTTAAACCTCATTGGAAATATCTCATTCTCACATTTGTAAAGAAGGTAGACGATCACTAGTAACACACAATTAAAGGAGGTATCTTTATTCATGATGGTATTAGGGGCACGGGTGGCCCAGTTGTCTGAGGCGCCGCGATTCGCTGTGCAGAGTTGCGTCCCTTGGGCACGCCAGAAACCTATGACTGTGGGTTCGAATCCCGGTTCGACCCGATGATGTTTCTAGGTTTGTCAGCACCATACCCGTGCTCGTGGTTTTCACCGAAGTGGTAAACGTCTGGGACCTTCATCACTTCGGGCTTTCCTCCCACATTAAGCTGACACGTCGCGATATAACTGGAATAATGTTAAAAGCTCACTCACTCACTCATGATGGTGTTTTTCTCAAGGAAAGGTGGACTCTCTGTCTTCAGGTAACCAGAGCTGTCTCCAAGCAGCCTTCCACCTGGAGCGCAACATCCAGTACTACATCGTGCAGATGTACATCCCAAGTATCCTAATAGTCATTGTCTCCTGGATCTCCTTTTGGCTCACTGTGACGTCAGTGGCAGGGCGTATCTCATTGGGTGTTTTGACTGTCCTCACCATGACAACACAGAGTTCGGGGGTCAATGCCTCGCTTCCACGTGTGTCCTACACGAAAGCCATCGATATATGGATGTCGACGTGCTTGCTGTTTGTATTTGCAGCCCTGATCGAGTTCGCAGTTGTCAACGTTCTTAGCCGCAGTGAACGATTGAACGGACCAAGATGCCAACAGCAAAATACTACCGAGAACGGAAATGTATATAGAGAAGTATGCCATGGGGTTTTCTGGTCCATCACTTGATTGTCGGTTTTGTTTACAGGTCGCCGTCGCTGTTGTGTGGCATCAATACAAACACACACTTACTTTTTTAAGCAATGTGCGTGAGTGTCGGTTGCTACCGTTAGGATGGAACATGCTCGCCCTTTTCGCTAACACCTGGTGAAATCACTGATTTTCAGTGATCAATTAATATAATTTTCACCTCTATTTTGCCTTTTACGCTCAATGGAATCTGTTTCGGGGACACAGAAATTCTCCTACGTTGACGTTTTATATGTAATTGAATATTTTGAAATTAAAATAAAGATTGTTTGAACGTGAAAGTGTATAGCTTTAAATAATACATATCTGAAGGAATCTGTTTCGACTAGTTATTCGCTGGTGTTGACGTTTTGTATTTCTATGAAGCTCAAAGTTCGCGTTTGAATCACACATGAACAAATTGTGCACAATAAACAATGACTCTTTTTTCACCAAAAAAGCGAAATGCAACTAAACATTTTCTGTTGCCTTTTCCCAAATATTGTTTTCTGTATCGCAAACGTCCCAGTGGTTTGAAGTTGAGTAAACAAACTTTAACCCTGTCACGAACTGCCTCGACTCATACAAGAAATAAAGTTTCTCCACGAGGAACAGCTATGATACAATGGAACACCTCTTCTTAAAGACAGTGAAATTCCTGGGATAAGCCCACTATCACTACTACAGAAACCAGTATCTTTAAACTGAAAATATGTTCAAAAGTTTGGCGTATTCTGAAAGTTGTGTCTCGAACGTTTTCTCGAATCGACCCAGGTAGCTAACTATTCCGTTCATTTCTGACCAAAACGCGAATTTTTTTCCGTAGATGTAGATCTGAAATTTCCCGATCTTTCATTAAATGTTTAGTATACTAATGTGACAAATCAAAACTGACGTGTTAATGAGAGCCAGATTATAGTTAATGACGTAACGGTAATATCTCAGTCAATTAGTTAAATTCTGATGTAACAATTATATTTCATACAGAATTTTTATGATCGGCGTCATAGGTGGGTTTAGTTTTTCTGAAAATCGAGATGAGTAGCAGTAATGTAGACTCGACAAACGGTTAAAGGGACATTTGAAACACATCGGCAGTTTTGCATAACGAGTTCCATAACAAAAAATCTACAACATAGGGAAAAAGTTAATATGTTTAATAACTTTGGTAGTTAATACAGTTCAAAAGAGATGAGTATCAAATTGTACAGCATATGACACCAGCTACTTCAAACAGAATCGTATGTTTGTAGTCCTCATGAGTACCCCGGCCTTATAAACTACTACTTTCACTTTGATGAAGATAACGCCAGGAGGTGTCAGCGTAATCATTTGGTGTAAACGTTTATCGACTCTTGCGGAAATACTGGTATCATCTCCACATGCAATAAAACTGACAATCCCAAGTGTCGAATTAGTATTCCCGAAAGGTCTTTTGTACACGACTGCGAAGTGTTTCATTAAAAGACTTTGAAATGTTTAATCCTATTAGCCCGTTGTGTTTGTTTCAGACCTTCGTCACCCTGGAGGGTGAAGTTCAGGTTGAAGGCAAATCTACGCACAGACCAGGACGCATAACTGGTATATCGTGCGCCATGTTTTTAGATAACATGTCGCGCCTTGGCTTCCCCCTGGCGTTCCTATCATTTAATGCCTTCTACTGGATGTACTACTTGTCAAGTGCAGGAGACAAAACTCAGTCAACGACCAGGCAATCAGCAGGTTCCTTGATGTAGCACAATTGCCAGGGTACAGATGTACGAGCGTGGTTAACTTTGAAATGTTCCTAGATAGAATAGGACATGTTTGTACTTTCTTCTTCCGTAGGGGGAGACAAATCTCACTACTGTCAACCAAAGAATAGATGACTTTATGTAGCAAGATAGCAAGGATGTAGACGTACCAGCGTGTTCAACTTTTAAAACATTCTTTGATAAAATAGGAAATGTTTCTACTGTCTTCTTCAGTCGAGAAGTCCATACTCAAATACCTAACATCAGCCAAAGAAAAGGTAACTTAATGTAGCAAGATACCATAATGCAGAAGTGCCAGTGAGTTCAACTTTGAAATTTTCTTTGATAGAATGGGAAATGTTTCTGCGTTCTTCTTTAGTAGGGGAGACACATGTCACTCAACTATCAACCAAAGAATAAGTGACTTCATGTAGACAACTAGCAAGGGCGGATGTGGAAGTATCCAGTGTGTTGAACCTTGAAATGTTCCTTGAAAGAATAGGAAATGCTTAACATAAATTGAATCTACGCAGGGTGAACTGTTTAAGATTTTGGTAGGTTACAACATGAAGATTAATAGCTGGTGCTATTCACACTCAACACAACACTCAGAGTGAAAGGACAAAAAGAGTCTGTTGATGTACAAGGCAAATCCAGAAAATGATCCTAGAAGTGATAGTATGTCCACAGGTTCTTGGCTCAGCACATGGCAATTATAAACACCAGTTGGATTCATATGCATGTTCTGAGAGATACCACACACATGTGGTGATCCCTTTAAACACTGTGATTACATAAATCGTAATGATCATGTTAATGTATGTAAAGGCATTTGTCGGTGGATGGAGATGCTACGAAACGGATACTTCGTACACCCGATGGTTCAGAGTAAACTCAAGTCTTCAGGATGATGTTTTCATATGAACCTAATGTGTGTAAACATACCAGTACTATGCTACATGTACATTTGTAGCTTTCTGAGGTATATATTACCTACAATGCGTGCGAATGCATGTATATTGTTAGCGAGACTTCTTCTTGGGCTATACATGTTCATGCATTGTACTTATTTTGTGTCTTATTATCCATATGAATAATACTGATACTGGTATGTTAGCCATAGAGGCATGGACATATGTAAACTTATTTTCAGTAATTCTCACCCTTTTGCTTCATGATAATTTGCCGGTTTGTGGCTATGATTGTTCCATTGTTTTCATTGTTTGCGAAGATGCCCATAGCAAAATGACATCATTTGAACGCATTGTAGCAAATAATTGAAGATGACGTCATACATTTTTTATGTGACGTCTTTCCCACCCTGAGCTAATGTCTCAATTTGAGGAAAGGAAACCAACATTTTTCTACATTTTCGAAGAAAAATACATGATCAACATTTCCTCGTAGCTCGTACATTATTCTCGACATATTATAATATTCTATACATGATCGACATTCTTTTTTTATTTCGAGTTTTCTATTCGTGTCGTACGTTAACAGGTCAGTAAATGTCTTCAGATTATATCTCTGTGAATTTACTTTCTTCCTTTAGCACAAAATGTTTTATTCTCTAAGAAGATAGACCTTGAAATCTTGTAATTTCTGGCATTTGTTTGCTGATTTACTTTCATTATTCAATCAAACAAGAGGATAGGAACACTCAACAATGAATTGGATAAAGCGATATCAACAGCCCCGAGAATACTTGTATACACGGCCTATCAGTATGTTGTGCATATAGCACAACATTTGCCTTCAATACACATTTTGAATATCAAAAATATGCTGTACTGAAGTATGAAGATATACTGATAAGAAAAAACAAGCGGCATGTGCAGTTAACTGGATTTGCGAAACGATATGACCTATATTTGAAATACAATACCATAAAAAGGTCCATGTACACTAAACCAATATGTTGAGGACATAACGAGCAGAAAACTCTTAACAGTATTGACTTTGCAAAACGATTTGTTATGAGATAAAACATATAACTGTTCGTGTATGTAAAACAAGCTATACGTGGGTCTCAGAATTCCATAAATTCTGTGGTGCCTCTGTTATCGCACAGCTCCATCATGTCGTTACCATTAATCATCTTCCACTCATGCATAGTGTTTGGACTTTCACACGTTTTGATTGTTTTTGTTGACTTAACATGTCATTACAAAGACATAATTCCGTACAGTGTAGTATGTTTTCTATTATTTAAAATTGGCAATTATACGAATATATCATACATAGAGTAATAGATATATTTCAATTTAATTATTTTTTAAATGATTATTGTGGCAAATGACTCAAGCTGTCTATCAGACCTAAATATGTAGGTAGTTCAGGCTATCATATCTAGGCCTGTGCGTATGGCATGCACTCATGGTATGATCTAGGTGTGCCATGTTATATCTAGGCATTTAGGTATTCTATGTGGACAATCACATCCAGGTCTACTGGTACTTCAAGCTCTCTTATTTAAGTCTGTGGGTATTTTATGCTATCATGTCACTGCCTGTAAGTAATTCATGCTCTCACATCTTAGCCTGTGAGTATTTAATGCTCTCACAGCTAGACATGTGAGTAATTCATGCTATCATATCTAGGCCTGTGAGTATTTCATGCTGTCATATCTAGACCTGTGAGTAATTCATGCCATCACATCTAGACCTTTGTGTATTTCATGCTATCATATCGAGGCCCGCGAGTAATTCATGCTATCATATCCAGGCGAGTTGGTATTTCATGCTGTCATATATAGGCCTGTGAGTAATTCATGCTATCACATCTAGGCCTTTGTGTAATTCATGCTATCACATCTAGGTCTATGAGTAGTTCCTACTATCATATCTAGGTTCCCGAGTAATTCATGCCATCATATTGAGTCCCGCGAGTAATTCATGCCATCATATTGAGTCCCGCGAATAATTCATGCTATCATATCTAGGCCTGTGAGTAATTCTTGCTATAATATCTAGTCATGTGAGAAGTTCGTGCTCTCATATCTGGTCCTGTGAGTATTTCATGCTGTCATATCTAGGCATGTAGATATTTCATTCCCTAACATCCAGGGCGGTGGTTACTTCATTCTCTCACATCAAGGCACACGTGTATTCCATGTTATCACACCTAGGCTTGTGGGTATGCCTGCTATCACATCTCATCATGTCGGTATTAGCCTGTGCCTGTCAGTCAATCATTCTGGTGAGCACATGCCAGCCTACAGTAGAGGCTAGTGATCACATCTAGGCACCGATGTATTTTATACTGATGATCACAGATAAGATTACAGAAGATCTGATCAATATTGACCACATATTGATCAGAAAATGTTTAGACGGTTGCTGATTGCAAATCCCATAAAAATGCTTCTATATCAATGTTACAAATGTCATATTAGACCGTTCGGAGCATATATATGTTTAAATATTGTCGTTGAATGCTGCTGTTAATATAATACCATAATTTATATTTCATATTCATACAGGAAGTCGTTGTTTTGTATCAACCTGTTTAAACATGGAAAATATATATATATTTATGTAGCGCGTGGTCTATGTGGATAAAGTATGCTCCTGAATTACATTCACTTGAGGCATATTTCATAATTATGTAAGATGTTCATTATTATAACTTTAAGATACCACTAGAATGGCTATTGGTAGCACTATCCTTTATCTGTATTGATAAGATATTAGACTCTACATTGTTGTAATTTGTCAAAATCAATGTGCTAGGCTAGCGAATAAGACATATGTTTTCTTATGTTGTTGTCATCAAGGACGAATTACTTATATTTACCACTATGCAAACATAATATAGTTATGTAGGCGAATCATTGTGATAAGGTTTCAACCCCACTCAATCTATACTTTTTTTCACATTATACGCGAAATATAATGTACAAATAGCTTAAAAGAAAACAACGTTTTTTATAGATTTACACAAACATTTGGTATAAACCCTAACCTGGACAATTTGTTGGAAAGAGGTAACACATGATTGTTATGACTGGGTTCATGTGCATTGCTATGATTTCAAGAGAATGTATTTGTGAACAACTGGACACTGTAATAGTCTATAGGCTATACAGAAAACATTATCAGTGTCTGTCATATGGAACAAAATTGGTTAAATGTTTGAAATATTTCTGTTAGGACGAGTAGAGCATTATGAATGATACGGAGTACGTGATGCTAAATGGTTTGTGGAGTCAATTTGAAACCACAATGCTAAGTCGTAACAGAATTTTTTAAACTTTCCCAATATAAGAATTCTTGCTCGTAACTGGGTATTTAAGAAGTGAAATATAAAATCCAATATATTGGTAATTGTTTATGTATAATTCGTTACATTGTTAAACCTATGTATGATTTGTGTAGAGTGTTTGGCACAGATTTGTTTATAACTCTCCACGAATTGTTTGATATTTGATGGGTTGAAATGATGTTTTCCCTTTCTGATGGGTTCACTTATGTTACCACCATATCCAATAAATATCTGCTTATTCGATCATGTCTCTGTTTCATTTTCCACCTCAACGTGTATATCATGATTTCGCGCAAATTCACAACAAACAGCATCGACATGAATCACGGTTTAAGAAGCTTGCACCTGGCTGCGTATGGCAGTTGATCAAACATCTGCTGCAATTACGACTGCTTCTTCTACATGTGGATGCTATGACCTGACTGTTTACATGTTTGTGGTTGGTGATACATCTGCCGGAATTACGACTGTTTACACTCTATGACCTGACTGTTTACATGTTTGTGGTTGGTGATACATCTGCGGAATCACGACTGTTTACACTCTATGACCTGACTGTTTACATGTTTGTGGTTGGTGATACATCTGCCTGAATTACGACTGTTTCTACACTCTATGACCTGACTGTTTACATGTTTGTGGTTGGTGAAACATCTGCCGGAATTACGACTGTTTCTACACTCTATGACCTGACTGTTTACATGTTTGTGGTTGGTGAAACATCTGCCGGAATTATGACTGTTTCTACACTCTATGACCTTACTGTTTACATGTTGGTGCTTGGTGATACATCTGCGGAATTACGACTGTTTCTACACTCTAGGACTTGTCTGTATACATGTTGAGTTACGACTGTTCCTTTATGTCATGACCTGGCTGCGTGAGTGGCGAGTAAGAAAGAAAACTGTCAAAATTATCTGAATCATGTCAAACATTCGGCAAACCTCAGACTGCTTGAATACGCGAAACCTTCCTATGGACGAAAGGCCTAGAAGTAGCCCTGAAACGTGCTTAAAAAGAATAAAAGAAGTTGTTATCCATAAATAATTATATATAAGTGTCATGTATATCACGTTCTTCCAACTTCTTTAAGCCTACCAAAGACTTCCACGACCGCTTCTAGGTGTTATGGACTGACCATTGAGTGGTAAATGTTCAACATATGCCACAGTCATGTTAGCTTGTTAAGTGTTTTGTCCTGACTGTGTAAGAGGTAGGTCAAACATCAACGGTAATTACGACAGACTCAATGTGTTTTGAGCTACCTGTGTGAGAGTGTTGTCAAACACGTGTCACATTTACGACTGCTTCTAAAAGATTTGAGCTCACTGCGACCATAATAAGTAATTTTATGGATGACAACCTCTTTATCTACACCCCTGCAACGTTTCGGTGCAGATACGATCACCTCTATCAAGCATGTAAGATCAGCAGAAGATATATACATGGTTGTGAAAACATAATTAAAGTTATGACAAGTGCCATGACTGTGTAAAAGGTTAGCAAAACAACTATCACAATTACGACCGCTTCCACGTAAATTGAAATGGTTGATCAGATTTTTTTGTATTCAGCCAAGGCTGGGAAAGTTATTAGCCAGGCTCACTGTCTCACACAAATAACAATATCCGTGACTGCTTTTTATTTGAACGTGTTTGTGACAGGTTCCACCGGTGGGGCAGGATACGCTCTCAATTTCGCAAACACCTGGTGAAATCACCAGTTGATAGTGATTTATAAACGCATGCTAATGATATTGTCGGAATCTTACAATCGCCTCTACGTTTGGCAGAGATTTCTTATGGATGTGGTAAGTGTTTTGTAGTGTTTATTTGCATCAGCATTTTGTTGATAGTAATTTATAAACGTATTCTTTTAATGTACTCGGAATCGTACAACAGACTCTGCTTCAAGCAAAAATATTTTATGATTATTGAAAAGATTTTGTTGCTTTTATTTATATACATGGGTCCACAGACATTTTGATTGGTAAGATGTCAAAGTAGTGATGCAGGTTTAACGCCGCTTTGAACAGAATGTAAGTTTCATCACACTGCGTCACAGTAACAGCCTGTTCTCTGTTCAATGTACGGATATACCTGTGTTTCTTCAGACAGGTTTATTGACGTAAGTATATTTATACTAGTGCACATAATCCTAGAGTGGCATCATTTGCTCCTTGCAAATATCGCAATATACATTACAGTGTTTCAGCGGTATCAATCTACTTCAAACACCGAATCGAAACCAAAAGCAGGAGCTATCTATGGAAAGTGTATATTTCAGGGATATTTGCAGTTCGGAAACGTAGTGTCTCCTCATCGGTTCAGTTCAACACTCGATTCTCTGAAGACAAAATTTGCTAAGGAGAATTTAGAAGTGATTTGTGTTATTTGATTTATGTTGCCCTGTGTTCGAGGTTACACAGACTGCTGACCCGGAAGACCGTCCTGGCGACACAGAGCATATGTTCTGCTCCCTGTGGTATTTTGGCCGTGCCTCTACATGCCCGAGATATGTGCACAGCTTAAACAATGTGGTAATGTTCCTGAACATCGAATGACATTACATTCAACACCACGTTCAGGGAGCCCTGACTAACAATTCGATTCTGTAGTCAGTCAGTGAGAAATCCCTGTTGCATACGTGAGCATGGCAAGCCACTTTGATGAGGCCCAAGAGAAATATGGACTTTTTGACCAGATTGCTATACTTGTTTCGTCAGATGTTTAGCTAAATATTTCGATCAAATGATCAAATTTGCACCATATTTGTACATATTTGAGCTGAAAGGAAATGTTGAATATCGCCTCAGTTGGAAATTACTTATTCGGGTTGACGTATTATCAGTTACAATTTGTTAAATCTAAATGTTATCATTTGTAGTTTGATTATTTGTTTATTCATTACTGTGCTTAATTCTGTTGAAAACGTTCTTAAGTATTGGCAAATCTTAAACTCTCCAGTACTCGAGGCTGATACAAGTGGGATGAAGCACTAAGCCAGAAATATGTATGGTACACTGCCGCTCTGTTTAGTGTTTTACGCCAAAGTCAGCATTATTCCAGCCATATTAATATACTGTAAACTACGGTTATAACGAACTCACAGAGCCAACTTATTTTAGTTCGTTATAACCGTAGTTCGTTATAAGCATATATACAGCAAAGAGCCTGGACAAAAAAGTTCGTTATATCCGTCAGTTCGTTATAAGCGTGTTCGTTATAAACGTAGCTTATTGTATAATCAAACGTCCCACGTTGACGAGGCACGGTGACAACAATAAGCCAAATAAGTGAGCATCACCACCTGATCACTAAAACACTCGGAATCCTCACGGGGTCTTATAGGGAAGGTAATACCTATGCCTAATAACAGGTAATTCAGACCTCCCTTTCACAGATCACAAGTAATTGTTCCACCTATTAAATAAGGACACATGTATAGCAACGATCAAAGTTCGCGTTGGTGTTTTTTATCAGGCAGTATATATTCACACAACTGATTGTGAACCTGCCTTGTGAGTGCTGTCAAAGTCAGATCCTTGAAGCAAGATCTGATGAGATATTTAAAGGCATACATTTTTTGTGGTGATTGTTGTTATCATTCTATAAAAAATGAGTTGAACGATAAAAAACTATTCTCAATTTATTCACAGTAAATATAAGATTAGATATTCATAAATTCTGCTGAGGCTGTCTGTAGTAAATTACTTAACCTTTTCTGAGATAAGTGTTTGCACTATTTTCATGATTCAGTCGTTTTTTTCGAATGAAAAACAAATTGTTCGCTGTGTAATCTACAGCGCTAGGCGATCACAGTTCTCACGTAGCCAATTTACAAACACTCTCTACTATAGAGTTATATAAGGGCGTCATTCACTGCGCTAATGTTTTTTTCTTTTTCGTTAAAGTTGCATTAGCTTTAAAGGGGTTCTTAAATACGTAAATCACATAAATCACATAATCCCGTTAATCTTGAGATATAATATATTTACAGTACATATTTGTGCTCAGCTTGTGAAAACCATGCATATTGTAAGGTCTTCTGGCCCATATAACATACAACACAGAGGTACGAACACAAGACGTTTACTTGACAAAGACAATAACGAGACTGGTTACAATCGTATTGTTCTATAAGTGCAGTAACGTTTCATTGATGATGCTTTAAAGTATCATGATGTCCTGCAGCTGCAAGTAATAATGATGATGTTGGTGGTGATGTTGCTGCTGCTTCTGAAAACCTCCACCCCTCGAACTGTAATGCTCAAGGCGCATTCAGAAAAAATAATATACACAAAATATATACTCAAAATAATGAGGTCACAATGTACATGTACCAACGTCAAGTGATATTATCTTTTTTTGTACAAAAAGAGAAAGAACCACTTTCACTTGAACAAGAAGTGTAGATATTTGTTTCCATTTTGACCTTGGTGTGGGAACATTTAGTTTCGAACACGCACAGCCCTTTCTAAATTAAAAAGTACGTTGAATATGACACCCACAAGATGACACCAGAGGATGTAGGTTTTGGCCTAGAACATATAGAAAGTATGTATAGAAGTACACCGAGGATGTAGGTTTTGGCCTAGAACATATAGAAAGTATGTGTAGAAGTACACCGAGGATGTAGGTTTTGGCCTAGAACATATAGAAAGTATGTGTAGAAGTACACCGAGGGTGTAGGTTTTGGCCTAGAACATATAGAAAGTATGTGTAGAAGTACACCGAGGGTGTAGGTTTTGGCCTAGAACATATAGAAAGTATGTGTAGAAGTACACCGAGGATGTAGGTTTTGGCCTAGAACATATAGAAAGTATGTGTAGGAGTACACCGAGGATGTAGGTTTTGGCCTAGAACATATAGAAAGTATGTATAGAAGTACACCGAGGATGTAGGTTTTGTCCTAGAACATATAGAAAGTATGTGTAGAAGTACACCGAGGATGTAGGTTTTGGCCTAGAACATATAGAAAGTATGTGTAGAAGTACACCGAGGGTGTAGGTCTTGGCCTAGAACATATAGAAAGTATGTGTAGAAGTACACCGTGGATGTAGGTTTTGGCCTAGAACATATAGAAAGTATGTGTAGAAGTACACCGAGGGTGTAGGTTTTGGCCTAGAACATATAGAAAGTATGTGTAGAAGTACACCGAGGATGTAGGTTTTGGCCTAGAACATATAGAAAGTATGTGTAGGAGTACACCGAGGGTGTAGGTTTTGGCCTAGACCATATAGA